TTTTGTCAAATTTAATGTGATGTTCACGCAAAGCTGTAGCAATTCTCAAGGATGCTCACGTAGAGGTGTTGCGATCCTTAGTTCTTCTTTTATCATTTTCTTTTTGTTTTTGGGTGAGGGGGTGGTGCTAAACTCTATAAGCCAGATATCAATCGGGCAGCGAAAGGATGAAGCATTAAAGATTATCTCCCGTTAGTTTACCATAACATACCTAACTCAGGTTACACGAAGCTAGTTTACACAAATAACGGTAATGAGTGAATATGCTGTGTCACATAGCAGTAAAACGCATTTATCTTCGTACGTAAAGTGCATACATTTTTTTTCGCATACAAAAAATCATGGCAAGCACATCAGAAGAATGGCTTGAGAAAGCTATTTCCGAAGGATTTATTAATAATATTGAGTATAATAAATTTACAGAACCTGTAATCATTGGCATCGGTGGCTTCGGAAATGTTTTCAAATACGAATGGAAAGATTGTGATTTAACAGTTGCTCTTAAATGTCTTAAAATTGATTCCAACATAAACAAAGAAATTATTAAAGATTTTATTAAAGAGGTATTTATCATATAATCACATGCATTATTTCCTAGTGTATACTATAGTTGTTAGGCGAAACCCAAAAAAGGAAATTATAACAATGAAGTTCATTGTTATAATTTCCTTTTTTGGGTTTCGCCTAACAACTATAGTGTATACTGAATTTTCTACATTTATATAATCAAAATATGAAAGCTTAAGCTATTACTAAGGGTTGGTAACCATCGAAATATTATCAAATTATATGGAATTACGAAAGGTATATATGAAATTTACAAGTTTGAATTTGCATAAAATAGTTATCAAAAATATTTATTGTAATTAAATAGATAACAATGGATATTATAATATGGTTTTACAATATGCCAATAACGGAAATTTACGAGAATATTTGAAAGCGAATTTTGCAAGGTTACGATGGACAGATAAGCTACATATCGCTAAGGGAATAGCATTTGGACTTCTCTTTTTGCACAATAATGATATTATTCATAGAGATCTTGTAAGCACTATAGATGTTATGGGATCTATGAGTTTCGTATTTATTAATTCACTAATATACTCTTGCAATTCAGCATTCGAAGAATATCTTAATTCATCAAAAAAAAGTAAAAATCGCGGATTTTGGACTTTCAAAGCAGATAAACGAAACGTCTATGACTTCAAACTCGAACGTTCATGGGATGCCGGCATATATCGAACCTAAGTGTCTTATCAATCATAGCTACAAACGTGATAAGAAATCTGACATCTATAGTTTTGGTGTAGTCCTTTGGGAAATTTCAAGCGAAAGACCACCATATCAAACCTTCAAATCTAGAGATTCACTCGTTATTCACATATTCCAAGGAAATAGAGAAGATCCTATAGAAGGTACACCACCTCTGTATATTGAACTTCACACTCGTTGTTGGGACAGTGATCCCGCCAACCGTCCAGAAATAAAAGAAATTCTTAATACTCTTAATCAATTTGATCCCGACAAAACTTTGAGTCAACATAGTCCCAGTGAAACATCAGCTCAAAATAACGTTAATTCACCCTCAAATCTTCAAGATAATCCAACCGCATCTGTATTACTCAATATTACTACTTCATCTCCTCTTTATTTACCTGATACAACTGAAACTTTGAGTCAACACAATATTATTTCTACATCAACCCAAAATAGTGATACTTCCTCAAGTCAAGATAAGCCAACTGTACTCGTAAATTCGATCGACATTATGATTTCATCTCCTCTTTATTTACCTGAAATAACAAATTCAAAAATTTCGATACAAGAAGGTAACTTTAAGGATATGAGAAAAGAAGTCCAAGAATATTTCAGGCAAGGCAAATTTCTCAAAGCATTAGAACTTTATGAGCAAATTCTCAAGAACAGTCAGCATACTAATGAAGATCAAAAAAACGCTTCTACGTGGAATCTTTCTGGAAAATGTCGTGGATCGGTGAAAGTAACTGAGTTAATAAAAGTACTTTGCAAGAACACTACCTTAACGTCTTTAAATTTACCTTGGAATAAGCTTGGATCAGAAGAAGGAAAATCATTAGCTAATGCACTTTGCAAGAACACTACCTTAACGTCTTTAAATTTAAGTGGTAATAACCTTGGATTAGAAGGAGGTAAAGCATTAGCTGATGCACTTTGCAAGAATACTACCTTAAAGTCTTTAGTTTTAAGTCATAATAACCTTGGATCAGTCAACTTTATAACCAAGTTTTTTAAGCAGTCGGTAGGAAAATCATTAGCTGATGCACTTTGCAAGAACACTACATTAACTTCTTTAGATCTTGGCAGTAATAATCTTGGATCAGAAGGAGGAAAAGTATTAGCTAATGCACTTTGCAAGAACACTGCCTTAACGTCTTTATGCTTATATAATAATGATCTTGGTTCAGAAGGAGGAAAAGCATTAGCTAATGCACTTTGCAAAAACACTACCTTAACGACTTTAAATTTGACTGAAAATAATCTTGGATCAGAAGGAGGAAAGGCAATAGCTGATGCACTTTGCAAGAATACTACCTTAACGTCTTTAAATTTATATGGTAATTTCCTTAGATCAGAAGGTGGAAAAGCATTAGCTGATGCACTTTGCAAGAATACTACCTTAACGTCTTTAGATTTATATGGTAATTTCCTTAGATCAGATGTCGGAAAATCATTAGCTGATGCACTTTGCAAGAACACTACATTAACTTCTTTAGATCTTGGCAGTAATAATCTTGGATCAGAAGGAGGAAAAGTATTAGCTAATGCACTTTGCAAGAACACTGCCTTAACGTCTTTATGCTTATATAATAATGATCTTGGTTCAGAAGGAGGAAAAGCATTAGCTAATGCACTTTGCAAAAACACTACCTTAACGACTTTAAATTTGACTGAAAATAATCTTGGATCAGAAGGAGGAAAGGCAATAGCTGATGCACTTTGCAAGAATACTACCTTAACGTCTTTAAATTTATATGGTAATTTCCTTAGATCAGAAGGTGGAAAAGCATTAGCTGATGCACTTTGCAAGAATACTACCTTAACGTCTTTAGATTTATATGGTAATTTCCTTAGATCAGATGTCGGAAAATCATTAGCTGATGCACTTTGCAAGAACACTACCTTAACGTCTTTAAATCTTAATTCGAATAATCTTGGATCAGAAGGAGGAAAAGCATTAGCTGATGCACTTTGCAAGAACACTACCTTAACGTTTTTAAATCTTGATTCGAATAATCTTGAATCAGAAGGTGGAAAAGCAATAGCTGATGCACTTTGCAAGAATACTACCTTAACGTCTTTAGATTTAAGATTGAATAATCTTGGATCAAAAGGTGGAAAAGTATTAGCTGATGCACTTTGCAAGAACACTACCTTAACGTCTTTAAATTTAAATTCGAATAATCTTAGATCAGAAGGTGGAAAAGCAATAGTTGATGCATTTTGCAAGAACGTTACCTTAACGACTTTAGATTTAGGTTATAATGAACTTGGATCAGAAGAAGGAAAAGCATTAGTTAATGCAGTTTGCAAGAACACTATACTGAAAGAATTAGATATTCGTGGTAATAATATTGGGTTTAAAATAAAATCTAATAATCCAAATATTGAAATATTTCAATCGTATTAGATTAAATTATAAAGGACATTGTAAATATTTAAGTTGTATTTGTAATACTGTAAAATGAATAAAATTTAATTAAATTAAGTAGCAAATAAAATAAATTTAAGGTTTCATTTAACTGTGTTTTCGTTGTAGAGAGAGAGATAAAGAAAGAATTATTAATATCAAATGTGAATTACAAAAAATTTCTTAAAATACATTACCATCTGTACAATACTAACCAATGAGAGCAGTGAGAAGAAATTATTAGCAGTTAGAGATTTTCAAATTCATGTAATGAAGATCATTTATCTTTTTGACAAAAGATCTTCAATTGGAAAATCTTTTTTTTAATGTTAAGATGGTAGGGTGCGCCATATCATAATTAATCAAAACTATGTAAGGTCAATCAATAAATTAATAATAATAGATTTTTAAACAACGTAGATCATTCGGAGTATCAATTTAATAGCGAAGACTAATTTATTAATAATAAATTTTGCGTAAAATAATATCTTTAATTTTTTCTTGCACAATTTTTTTAATTTAATATAAAAGGTTTTTCTGTAATTTTGCTTTTATTTCTACAATTATTCTCTATAAAAAATTTGAGCTATAAATAATGGGTCATTGAGTCTACACATCTAATTTTGTATAATGATTATTATTTATCTATAATAGGATGCCGTATAAACCAAAATTAAAAGTTTCATCTAAGTGAAAATTTCAACTAAAAATTGCAAGAGCAAAATTTGATTCACAAAAAAATAACAACTTATGAAATAAGATTAATCAGTATTTAGAAAATATGAATTATTGTCAATTAAAACAAATTCACGATTATATTATCAAGAAATTAAATATAGAGGCAACTAGTGAAACTGATGACAAACAAATAGAACTGATATCTAATATTTTACAATTACCTGATCAGCAAGTTCATGTAATTACTATATTATTTGAAAATATGCATTATTCGAAAGGTTCTAATGAAGGAAAAATATTATTACCATGTCTTCAAAAGAAGGTTAAATTATATATTGAACAAAGTTTATATAAGGCTGGTCAATCATCCAATTTATTAACTAAAGCTAATCATAATTTGCATTTGGAAAATATTAATTTACAAAAAACTATTACTTAACTTCAAAAGTCTAAAGTGACTTCTACTCAAAACTTCAGAGTTTAAGTGAAAAAATTTCATAGTTAATAAGAAAACGAAAAAATCAAATTCCAAAAATTCATGCAAATACTCAATGAACATTAACAGATACTCAAAGTTTTAATGCAATGATTAATTTTTTTATAATAGAAAAAAAAAGAATACAAATCAGATTTTATAAATATAATAGTACAAATGTCACAAGTTAGTAAATTATCATTTTGTAGCACAGTATAAGCAACACAATTATTTTTAGGATTTTTAACAGAAAAGTCTAATTCACATAGTTCATCACCTCAATCACTTGTTTGTTGGTACAAAGAAGTTTCTAAATTACATGTTAGTCAACTATTTAAAAATATAGGCAATTTGAAATTTTTTTCTTTTAGTTTGATGGGTGATAAATCAAAACATAATGAACAAAAAGTTTTTGTTAGTTGTATAATGTATTGGAACTTATTAACAAACTTACCAGATACATGTCTTCTTGAAATAAAAGATTTATTACATTGCAATGGAGATACCATTGCTCAAGCTTTTACAGATATATATGTTCAATTTGGACTTGATTTATCAAAATGTTTTTATATGCTTTTCAGATAACACAAATTATATAAGCAGCAAATTAGGTGGGACTATTGCAAAATTTAATTTAAAAAATTATACAAATTGTTTTCAGATTCTCTGTAGAATGCATGTAACATATATAATTATGATGGGTTTTGAAGAGACTGCATTTGGAAAATTACCACCAGCTTCAGGTTTAACAGATAAAAAAGTTCTATTTAATCTTTTAAAATTAGCTTACAAACTTCATGATGGTTATGGTGATAGTAATAAAGAAAGCCCTATGAATATACAATCAGAATACATTTATCATCTCTATGAAGATTTACTAGGATTTAAAATAAAATATCAAAACCCAATTCCAACCCACTGGCTTTATGAACTTGAATGTGGAGAACAATTTCTTGATCATTATGATTCACATAATTTATTTGTCAATTGGTTTATACTTTAATTAAAATTATATAAGAAGACACTACAAGAATATATTAAAAAATGTGAACTTTTTCAAAGCTGGCTTAATGATCCATTACTAAATCTTCAATTAAAATGTTTAATTAAATTTGGAAATAAATTTTATTGTCCAATGATTCAATTTATAACTGAATTTGATTCTGATCTCAATCCTATTGGAAATGATTTTTTTATTCACTTACCAATGAAATGTTGTTCACATCAAATGCCTGAATTCATTCTTCATACTACATATGAGTTGTCAATTATAATACAAAATTTATATTACTTTTTTGGCAAAAAATTGTTAGAGGCAAATAAAATACTTAACCATACTACTTTTAAATCTTTAATTACTTCTTTAGAACTTGGAGTTCAGAAAGCTCTTGAACTACACCAAAAATAGTTTCATGAGTGGCTTCATCTATTCTTAAGTATTTGCCAATTGGATGGACCAAGAGCTCAGAAATTTGCATGTAGTTTTGCATTTGTTATTTTGAAACATTCTTGGCCAAGAACTCTGACTCTTCAAGAAATTTGTTATGCAAAATTTCTTGAAGTTGATACAAGTACCAGAAACTTTAATGATTTCAGATTATCAGAAGCTCTTAAAAATTTTAATTTTTATACTAAATTTATAGCATTTATTCATAATACTAACCAATCGATTTATTTATTTCCTAGATTATTAGACTTGTTAAACATCGTATTTGATATTTAATTACATATCAACAGCAGATTGAGGGACTTTTTAACAAATTCAATTACAAAACACACCCAAATATGTTAAAGATACTCAAGAATCTAAAATATGTCTTGCTAATACTTCTATTTTTAAATGTTCAAAAGAAGAATTGAAGACAGTATGTGCTCATAAGAAATGAAAAATCTCAAGTAAGACTGATCAACATAGAGAAGACAAAGCGAATGAAACATTTACTACACTTTTTATTAGATATTAATTGTCAATAGCCAAATTTAAACTTTTTTTAAATATACTGATTGTTTTTATTAAAAATAAAATTAAAACAGCTTTAAAAACAATAACAGCCCAAAAATATTTTTCTTAAATAAAATAAAATAATATTTTTTTTTTTGGTACCTTTTTTTTTTTTTAATTGAAATAAACATTTAATTCATATAACTTAAATGCAACATTTTGGCTTTAACTAAAAATGAATGAAAATGTATTTATTATTATAAATTTGACAAAACTTTTAATAAGCCTTACTTTTATGTATTATTTTACAATAATCCTTAGCCGATACTATTATTTGAATACTTTATAACTATCATATAATCTCAAACCAATTGAATTGCTAAATTTGCATACTAGTAAGGATTGATATTTATGTAACATCAAAAATCTGCACTTAGCAGATTTACAAATTTGTTAATATAGTTTTGATTAATTATAATATAGCACATCCTATTAAGATGGGGTACTTGTGACTTAGGACTTTATTGATAATATGTTTTGACTAATGGTTGCATTACAATCACATAAAAAAAATGTACAACTAGTTACTTGTACAACTTTAGTTATTATCTAATTTAAGTAGTTTACTCAAAGGTTCTATACTAGTTGTTATATCTTAAACCTGTATGTAGATTCTTTATTTAAATACTCTTGTTTTTTTGAAATAGGTTATAGGTTTCTTTGGTTCAATAGCATTATTAAAAGTTTTTTAGTTGGGAATTATAAGTAAACTTTTGTCTTTAAATATTTTTGTTTATTTGAAAATAGGTTATAGGTTTTTTTTGATCCAATAGCATTATTAAAAGTTTTTTAGTTAAGAATTTTTAAGTAAACCTCTGTTTTCTTAGTATCTTAATTTTTATACTCAGTAATCTTATTATAAATTTGCATCAAAATCTTATACAAAATTAGTTTTAATATTTTTTTATGTATATGTAATATTATACTTCATATAAATGCTATAAGTTTTTAATAATAAATAAAATCTAATTTGGTATACTTAAGATTATAGATATATGTATAAATTTATTTATTTATTTTTTTTTGGTGTTAAGATGAGGTTTTGCCTTTATCTTAATTAGTAATTTGTTTTGGGCAACTACAAGAGTTGACACAGGCCAGAGCCAATTTACAAATTTTTTACAAGAATGAGACTCAAACTATAAACAAAATTATTATCT